CGGGAACAACTGGTATGTCACGGAAACCAATATCGCGCGCACAGGTCGCGGACAAAAACGCGGGAACCTGCTACGAACTATCTTGTCACGCGTACCGGTAACGCGGATCGCGTTACCGGTACGTCCCGTCCCGTCAGACATCGCTTCGTATTCGTATTCCCGTCAGACATCGCGTGGTGTTCAACGGAAATCTGGGGGCAGGCGATGCTTCGAACTATTTGTGTTTTGCCGGAAAATGGGATGGGCGGTCTCTCGGGGAGGGAGTCTTTACGGAAGTTTATAGTACTGTTCTTTATTCATTTTATTTTTTCACCGCGAAAGCAGACTACGCGTCGTCAATGAAACTTCTCCCAAACGTATAGAGCTAGCGGTCAGGACAAGAAGTCAAGGTTTCGGAGCTATAATCGTTATCCTCTTCTCCCAAACGTATAGAGCTAGCGGTCAGGACAAGAAGTCAAGGTTTCGGAGCTATAATCGTTATCCTCTTCGAAAGTTGCAAGCGATCTTCTAAAACTTCCAGTGCTACCGTTCCAAGTAGCTGACTCCAGTGGCGTTACTAGGGTCGGCGGCACCCGAAGAGGTGGCCCGCCGCGACATATCCCCCCCCCCCCCCCCCCCCCCCCTGGGCGCTGCAGCCGGGACGGTCCGCCCCCCTTGTGACGCCCGTGGTTGATTCCATTCTTCACCATTTCGCGTGCTTCGTCGGCCACCATTTTCTTATTGAGAATTCCCGAAACTTCGCTTATAACTTTTGAACAAGGTAGAAGTTAGTTGAGATTTGGCATGTGGTCCAGGCCGCTAGCGCTAAATTTGGGCAGAGACTGTTCGCCAATGCATAACTCCTTTTTACAGCGAAGCTGTCATGTGCTATGGTCCGTTGCAACTCAAGAAGGTAGGGCGAGAGTAAGACGGGCCGGGGAGGAGGAAGAAGACGGAACACTAAAGCGACAAGGAGGTTTCCCCCTTTCTTCTCCAGCGTTCCGTCTGCTTCTTCCTCCCCGGCCCGTCTTACCCTCGCCCTAACTTCTTGAGTTGCAACGGACTACAGGACCTGAAAAAAAAAATGCCCTTCCATGGATGTTAACAATAAAACCCCCGTTTAAACGGCGCTCCTTTCTTCCGATTGCTCGTGGCAAGTATAAATAAAAAATGACCGCATCTCCACGTGGTGAATGATGTTGAATAGGGCGAAGCTCTGGTGGTGCTTGTCTGCGTAGACGCTGAGCCGCAGCATGCCGAGCCTTTTGTTCGTTTTCAGCCATGTCACGCTGCGGTCAAATGCTCAACTGCGTATATAACCACGTTCCATACCACACATTCTCTTTCTGACATGGATGAAAACGAACGAAAGGCTCGGCATGCTGCGGCTCGCCGTCTACGCAGACAGGCACCACCAGAGCTTCGCCCCATTCAACATCAATCACCACGTGGAGATGCGGTCATTTTTTTTTTTTCCTGCACGAGCACCCGACGCCGGACATCGGACGGACATACGGACATGGCTAGCCCCTAAGGAGTTTCGCCCCTAAAAAGGGGGGGCGGGGGGGGGGGGGGGGGGAGGGGAGGGACAGGGGGGGGGGGGGGGGGCGCAACCTGCGTGAGTCAGCCTTCCTTGGCATTATTAGAAAGTGAAGTCCTGATCCCTTGTTATCATCTACGGTCACTGACTTATCTCAGCTAATAGCGCGCAGTGACGAGGCTAAGGGCAGAACGCGCCGATCTAACCTTCTTTTTCACTTTCGCAATTCTGATGAAGAGACTTGGGCTCAATCGGAAAAAAACTGTCCTCGAGGTGTGCCTCGAAAAATTCGGTTTAGAACTTGCCCATAAATGACCATAAGGCAATGCTCATTTTACGTAGTAAGAATTAAATAAAGACAATTAAGCAACGAAGTCGTGTACATGTTTTCATTGCAGTCATATGTAAATCGTGTAGATGTCGTATAGTTGTCGTAAAGATAACAGCTTCGCTGGTCCTCCATCTTCACGTGAAGTGGATATAGGCTCTACATTTTTTTTTTTTTTTTGGGGGGGGGAGGGGGGCAGGGGTTGGTGACACTCTATATTTTCGCCCAGCGGCATGGCCGGTTGTTGCGTTTTCTTTGATCATGCACTCTTTTTGCGGTCCTCCAGAAAGCGCGCGTGTAACGGAAGTTCTGGCTTAATGCAATGACAGGTTCGGTCACGAGCGGCGCCAGACAGAAGCAGCACACCTGCCACGCCTCCCCTGGTATTCCTCTTTTCCGCATTGTGAGTAGTCAGGAGGAGAAGCGCACCTCCAGACGAAAATGCGGCTTTGTTTTAACTACTACTTTGTACTGAAAACTAATAGAAACGAAAGGGGTTATTAACCTTCACATTGGTGTAATTGACCGATCTCATTAGCCAGTTTGACTACGCCACCTCTGCCGCAGTGCATCGAGGGAACTTTAGTATTTGTGCACGCACGACAACCCCGCTGGAGCTCTTCGCGTGCAGAGCACGAGACAGCACGAGCCTTGTCGTGTACTGCCGTCTGCCTCCTGTGAACTAAAGTTATAGCGGCGTCACGCATGCGCCGAACGCTTAGTGAGATCAGTCTATTGTCAAGCATGCTTTTGTCTGGTGCTTGACCATACTTCCCCGCGCACAGAACAAACAACACGCAGTAAGTAATATTTTCTGTTCATTTGCGGAAAATAACTTTCAAGAAACACGCTCGAGTTAGAAACGTCTCCCTGGACTCTGACGTAAGCACGTGGGGACAGCTCTCCTCACCTGCTGCTGCTTTCGGCAATTTTCGGGTGCTTATTAAGCAGACAAGAAACGAGAAAAGCATAAAGGCCCCTACTCACATTCGCGTTTGAACGCGTTTGGGTTCGGGGCGGCGTCCTTTAGGCAGGAGCGGTTCCTAGCTTTACGAAGCGTGCCTTCGCGCAACGCCTCGCAGCGCGCCGTAGTGGAGTTCCAAAGCTGAAGTGGTTCAAGCCGGAGAAAGTTTTCGGGGAAGCCAGCGGGATCGTCCCAAGATGAACCACTTCGACGCTGTCGCTGGGCGCCGCCATGTTGCCGTGGATTTCACTTACTGTTGGTGAGCCGCTAGCGACGATAGCGCGTTATTCGTATTACAGCGAAGATGTTAAGGGCTAGTTCCCCCAGTATCGTCTCCGCAGACAAACAATTGACGATACAAAACTCCAGACAGCTACCGCCATCTATGAGCGACGGCGGCAATCAGACAACCGGCAAGCCGGTTTCTTGTTTTCGCCGTCGCTCATAAATGGCGGCAACCTTTCCAGCCTTTTCGCTTTGGTTTTCACCAGAGTGGAAAGGCTGAATTTCTCTAAGCGTCGTCCTAAAAGTCGCCCCTGAGGTCGTCCTAGACGCCGTCCTCTAGGCATAGTCCTAGACGTCGTAAAGATAACAGCTTCGCTAGCCCTCCATCTTTACGTGAAGTGGAAGGGCTCTACATTTTTTGGCTCTTGACTGCGGTCGACTGCGTGTCAACGCAACTGTGTGTACAAGCTTGACGCTCTTCGAAACGCTACGCGTCCGCTTCCCTCTACGGAACGCAAAGCGCTCAAACGCAAATGTGCGTATGAGCAAGGGGCCATCGAACGATTTTTCAACTTCTTCCTTCATAGCTTTCCACCTCAACTCACAAATCGCGCAGCATTCCCGAAGGTACAGTGGTGAGAGTATACCGCGGCGCTAGCAGTTCAAGAGGAGGGAAAGGAGGAACTTCCCTCTTGCTCGGACCAAAAACTTGAAGGTAGGGCGAGGGAGAGGAAGGTGGGAGAGGAGGAGATGGATACAACGCTTGCGAGGGGAGGAGGAAACACCCTCCCCTCGCCAGCGTTGCGTCGGCTTCCTCCTCTCCCACCTTCCTTTCCTTCGCCCTACCCTCTTAACCTGCGACATACTATAGGCAAATACCGTCAACCGCACCCCATTCCAAGGCGTCGCCTCCTGGTCACGTGCTCTGCATGGTGGCGAGAAGAGGGGAGAGAGTCGTCGCCAAATAAACCGCTCCACCAGGAGTGGTTTACAGCGCTGCTGTCGCTCTGTCTAATGCAAATGAGAAGAGTGTCCCGCATTCCCCTAGCAACGTATTTGCTCGGACCCTCGTTTGTTTATCCGTACATCGCCAGTCCTACCCCCGTCGCTCAAAATTCGGACAAAAGTTGCTTTCCCTCCTCTCCCACCCATGACTTCCGCAGTATTGCGCGCAACTATCCTCCGTTCACACCTTAGCTGACAACGCTGTGGAAGCTACGTGCTCGCTGGGCCAGCCACACTTCCATCTTTTGCCACGTGATCACGCTCCCTCGCGCATAGAATGGGGTCAGGTGATGAAAGGGAGGCAGCTGATTGGTCCGGCAAGCGCGTACACTCTAAAATAAAGCCCGTGCGTCTACTTTCCCGCACAACACTCGGAGAGCCAATCACCGCAACTTACGGAGGCAGCACAGCGAATGACGATGCCGAAATATATGTTTAGACCAAAAACCGCAGTCTGAGTTGTGACATTAAGCAATGCAAGCGTAACGTTTTGCATTGCTTAATGCTTAATAACTCAGACTGCGTTTTTTGGTCTGAACTTATGTTTCGGCATCGTCATTCGCTGAGCTGCCTTCGTAAGTTGCGGTGATTGGCTCTCCGAGTGTTGTGCGGGAAAGTAGACGCACGGGCTTTTTTTTTTTTTAGAGTATAGTTCAAAACACACTGCCATCTTAGAACTGGAATCGGCTGGCGTGCTTTGGGTCCCGCGAATGTATCACAGTGAAAAAACGAAGAGCCTTCGAAGCAAGGAAGGTACGACATAGTCCGCTATGTCTTCAAACTTTCGTACCGAAAACCATGTCTTCGACTGTCTACTTCCTTTTTTTTGGCCCACTAAACGATATGCTATTAGTAAAATCCCATTCTAAATACATTCATCCCAGCCCCCAACTAATCCTGCTGGGGGAAAAGGCACATCGACCAGGAATACGCCACGTCAAAAAACAGCACAGTTTGACTAGTGGAAAAAAGAATTTTTTTATTTTTTCTCATGTCGATGGAAAAGCATCTTCTACTCTGTACTTTACAAAAAACGCACACAAATGTACAGAACACATTCGTCTTTCCACCGTCGACGGCGAGACACAGTGGCGCCACTAAACGCCAGAACAAGAGGAACAGCACCGACCGTTTATTCCCGTTCACGATTAACTCCCACATTTCTTCCGAATACAGTGTTTCGAACCTTTTATTTGTTTATTTTTTTCCCAGAAAGCGGTAAAGAGACAACGTCCCATTATCCACTTGCAGCTTCCAACTCAACCGAGGAGTTGAAAGATGGACAACATCAATTATTCTAAGGCTCCTGACCATTCGATGTTTCGCGGGTCGGGCGTATGTTTCTGACGAATTTATGACTCTTCCTTCGTGATTCGTAATAATTTATTCTACTCACTTTTCTTCTTCTTACGCAGCACAAGGTTTGATAATAGACCCTTTTCAAGACCCCATGAAGCAACATTTTCAGACGCCATTTCTTGGGCAAGAAGTGTGTGATTGGATCAGAGTGTCCAACACACACTCGGGCTACGTCCCCAAACAATGGCCGACTCGAATTTTGAAAAGGATCCACTTTGTAATAATTTTTGTTTTCTACTTGAGTGTTCGATGAGAGCCGTTCGTCTGCCCGTATTCTACTTTAGTTTTCTGATGAAAATAAGAAACAAAAAAATGACTTTCACGAAACAGCAGTCATCGGTCGGTCAATGCACCAAACGGGTATCATGCAAAAAAACGCAGACGGCGCGCGCGCAGATGTTATCGCCTTATTCGAAAGAACAAAGCAAAACAACAATGACTAGCTGCGCCAACACTTCTATCACCGAGCTTCTGCTTCGTCCTACAGATGGACGGCGTGGTCCATGTAGAATATTCGAGGTCCATGGTTGTCTACCACCTTGGGAGGTTCGAGAAGACCGCGCAGATTTCTTACAAAGCAACCTGATGTAGTGTCACAATCTCTGCGCTGTCCAGCCCACGCAGTGTAATTTTACTACTGTAACATCTTTCAAATACATCGGGAATCGGCTTCCTGGAACTCGAATAACATATACCATCCACAAACGAAGAAAAAGGAGATTCGTCGATCCTCGGGGGTAAGTCTCACCACCTATAATACGAACAACGCAGCGGGCTTTCACTAGGAAGACAGGTTATATACATAGTTTATATTATACATTCTACATAGATCTGCGTAGACATTCATTATCTGCCGTTTTGTCGTCGCGGCTGGAGACATGACAGCGCCGTTTCCTTTCTTGACTAGCAGCACCGGACCCAAACCTTCAGACTAGCTGGACGAACAGAACGAGCGAGCGTGCAGGGCCCTGGCCCGAACAAAGCAACAGAAGAACCTTGGCGAGTGTTCAAACCACGGGATTAGAGCTGTATGCTTAACTATCTTTTTTTTTATGGACGTGAAACGCTGAAGGCCTGCTCAGAACAGACAGCAAATCGAAGGTCAGAAAAGAAACCGGACCGGTAACAAAGGAAACGTCCGAACGCGCCGGAAGCCTACTGCAAATGCCGTTCTCCTGTTGGAACTAGAGACACCAAGTAAGCTACGGATTAGAGTAAAGACACTTCAGCCACCAGATGGATGGACGCTAACGGCTGCACACTCTTCATAACGGGCGCTAACTTGCGCCACCTAGCCTACAAACCAAAAGTATGATTCCTCTCCTCGCCCTTTTTTGTAACTATCACCAGGCGGTCTGTTCTTGAGCTACCCCAAATAACTATATTCTCGGAATCACCGGCCTTCACCCTTTCCGGTATGCTATTTATATCGCGAAATCCAGAATAGTTATTATGAAATCGGCAAGTGAAAGGGATGCCAAAACCAACATTCAAATATACCCGCGATTTTCAGTGCCGTGCTTCAGGGGATGGCAGGCTCGCAGGTCGAGTGGGCAGTCAAAAAATGGACTATGCCGAACATTTGTTTCGCGCTGCTCTGCGGGTGCTGATGTGAGCTTCCAAAACTTTCATTGGACACCATGAAACTGCTTATGATCAGTTGGGAACAAAGTCTACGTCCAAATAGTGAACCCCTGACTTCCGCTGACGTCAATTTTTCACTGTTGATTGTAGAAACTTTTACCTAAAAAAAAAGACACACAAAAAAAGGGTTGAAGACTAAAATTGGAAATTCAATAACTTCTAGGGAAAATATTTGGGTCACTATATTAGTGATGTTTGTTGGTGTGTTTAGGTAAATCGAAGACTATAAACAAAATGCCGGAGTACCCCTTTAACCAACTTCGCACTTAAAATCAGTGTTGCCAGTTATCCAAAGCTTTCTCTAAACTCACACGAAACGCTGTTCCGTATTCGAGAAATGTTAAAACACTGCGCACCAAGCATCAAAATGGCGGCGCCCAAGGAAGAATCGCGGAATGGAGCGCTGACACCTTAACCGTAGCTTTTTTAGTGGCTCTAGGCCGACTTTCATATCGCAACTCTCCTGGAGCCAAGTTGAGAAAGAGAAGGGATTGAGAGAGGAATGTCTATCAGTATGACCTCGGTGTATTCATTTGCAGGTCGTAATTCTCTTCCTTCTTCATTTTTTTTTTCAAAAATTTAATATGTCTATTGTATGTCTGGTTATCCAACTGGGGTTCCACGATGCGTACAGATATCTGGGTACACGCGCCATGTGCCACGCTTAATTCTTTGTCTGCTGCTAGGGAGCTGCTGAAGCACAGCCTTTGCTGACCAGACGCGTTCAGTCGATGAAACCGCACTTACACTAGTTTATAGTCGTAGACATCAACGTTCTCACAAGTGTGTTCTTTACACACTGGTCTGCTTTGGTTCTAAGTGCTGTTCGGGACTAGATGCACCGCGTCTCTTTTCGTTAACCTGAAGGGAAAAGACCCGTTCGGAAGGGGAAAAAAAAAAGTCACAAGACACTAGTAAAACTTTGGAAAGTTGAGCTGACGATGGCCTCTCACTCTGCGGAACAAAGCAACAACAAAAGAAAAAATAAAAGTTGTTCCACCAGAACTTAGCACAGACACACGCACACATGAAACGTGCCTTTGGTGAACTCGAGGGGACATGGTCGACAATGCGTAATGGTCTACCCACTGTCCTTCACCGCGTTGACCGCATAAAAGCCGTTCTTTCGTCGAACCGGCGAAATTCGTAACTTTGGCTTTTGCTTTATATGAGATTGGACTCTTTGTGTCACGATCTGTTCAGAGATTCGACGTCAAAGTAGGGAGAAAAAAAGCCCAACCACGGTTTCCGTGGTGGAAGGTCTTCCTCATGGCGTCTCCGGCGGGATCCTGTGGACTCGAGCGTCCCTTCTTCGCACTTTTGCTCCAGCCAATACCACTTAGAAGACAAAGTCTGCGCATGACGTCATCATGAGTGGATCCCCAACCAAGCGGCACACACACTGAAGCTCGGCGAGAGCGTCTGTATGAGGAGCGCAAAGTTGTCTGCTTCGAGCACACGGGCTTGACGTCAAAACGCCAATGTCTGCTTTTTGCGCAGGGGTTGCGGTAACGTCAAAACGCCAAGCTCTGATTGGCTCTGATTGGAAGGATAATGGGTAGACCTCAGTGCTAGCTGCCTTGAGGTTCTACCCTCTATCCTTCTAATCAGAGCCAATCAGAACTCGCCATTCTGATGTCACCGGAACTACTTGCGCAAGAAGCAGACGAACTTGCGTTCCGCATTGATGCCTGCGCTCGTTTTGAAACGCTGCAAGGTGCGATGGCGGCGGTACAGACACAGGTTAGGCACTGTGTGGATTCACTAGAGATGGCGTTTGGGAGAGGGGGGTGGCGCATGCTTTGTTTTCTGGGTTGTATTGGTGCACAACCATGCTCTGAGACTAGTCACTCCGATTGTCATATGACAAAGACGTATGTCTACTTTGGTTTGTTGCTCCCCTTCGCTTGTCTTGAGACAGTTCATCCGGATGAGGCGACACTAACAAACATGACGATGAAACATTAAAAAAAAAACACGAAAGAAAAGAACACAAGCGAGTCTGCAACGTCATAAAGAGGAGGCTAAGAGTGCACCAGAATGGCAGGACTAGTTCGCCCGAAGATTTTGTCTCGGGCCTCCTTCGGGCGTCGCGATACTCTAAGAAAAATCCTCCCCAAAAAGGTTTCTTTGGTTGTCCGTATATTTGAAAGCAATTTTTTTTCTGTGAATTCTCATCTAAGGGTTTCGTAGGAAGGGATTAGCCAATTGCGTCATTAAGGAACACATTTGACAAGAGCCAGTAAGCGTGGGAGCTCTAAGATTCTATGGTGTGTAACGAAACTCCTTCAATGATGGTGATAAAAGTCCTTCGGATTGTCTCCTAAGGGTTGTCCAAAGGGATGCTTCTTCCGGAGTTATTGAGTAAGTTTTATCAATAAAGAAATTACTATGTACACGCAACAAGCCGGGTCATCCGGTACCAGTCGTTTCTGACGCTTCAATGTGCAAAACGACAAGATACTTGGAAAACCAAGTAAACCAATGGTAGGCCATTAAAAAGCAAAAAAAACACCGATTGCAGATGCAGTAGAATTAGCTTGTTTGATGGTTATAGGGCACACCACTGGGCGAGTAAGACCGGCAGAGGCCAGACCGGTTTTTAAGCCTCCTGCAACATCTTAGGACCGGTCTTTCTCTGTCTTACTCGGTTGCAAGTGTGTGAACGGGCCTTTATGCATGTCTCAGTTCTACGGAAAAAAAATATCGTTAGGCTCCAGTGTCAGATTCCAGAGTTACATTTTACGCATGGGGTCCATAGGGACCATTGCTCATAGGGACATCACCTTACATCCTGACACCACGCGACGTCTTGGCGTCACGTGCAATTATAAGGTCACGCGCGCCGTGACGTCACGTGGTTTCCGTTACACACGCTCCGTGCTCCCCGGTCCTTGTCAGCACGATGTTTTCTAGATGAACGCGAAATGGGTATGAATACGGACAGTCCAAAGACCCTTCGGGAAGATTTCCCCCTTAACACGCGGCCACGCTGCAAATACGTCCTACAAAACAGAGACACCGTCTGAGGTCTTCTTCGTACGACTGTCTCGTTCGTCGCGCAAGAACTCTCCGCAAACATGTTCGAAGCACACATGAAACAAACATGCTTGACGCGTGTCCGCAGAACTCATGGTGTCTGCAGGGAACGTCTTCTGCGCAATGTACGAGCTGCGTGGGGTGGGGGGACGTCCTTAGAGCGGCCCGTGCCTAGTGCCTGGCGACGTCCGCCTTGGCCTCGGCCCTCCTGGCGGCGGAGGGCGGCGACGGACTGCGCTTGCCCGCGGCCAGCACGCAGGAGCTGCTGCTGGGGCTGGACGAGGGCTGCTGCCCGCACACCCGGTGGTGGTTCTCCCAGTCCTTGTGCTGGCAGAAGGCGCCGCAGTAGCGCGCCACGTTGCAGCCGCTGCACGTCTCGCTCGCCTTGCGCCCGCAGTTCCAGCAGTGCTGCTTCGGAACAGTGGGGACAGAAGCGGGAAAGGAGAGGTCACACCCACGCGCAGTCGGCACCAGGAATGACGTCATCGTTAGTGGACCTCCGACCCGCCTTGAGCGGCAAACACGCCGAAGCGTTGCGCTCGTTGGCGCTGCGCTAACCCGATAGTGATGATGACGTCTGGGGGAGAAAGGCGTTTGCCTTTTGTCTAATTCTGGGGGGTGTGGCATTCTCCTAAGGCCAAAAGCTATGCTTGACCGAATGCATGCCAGGAAACAGATGGGACAAGTGTTTGGATGAGACCTCGGGTTCGAAATCGGGTTCGAAACTCCGCTCGAAACCAGAGAGCCCCACTTTATGCGTTTCGAAAATGACAGCTGCCCGAGAGGTTGCCAGCTGCAAGTAGATTTTGTCCCCAGGAGTCTTGTCGAGGCCGGACGCTCCGCGCTTCATCTCATCAACTTTTATACTTAGTGTACAACGCCGTCAAAGATGCTGGTGCGATTGTGTGGCTTCATCTTGCGGTTTATTGTCACGTGCTCTCGCGCAAATTATTATTATTATTATTAAGATTATTAATAATAAACGAGACGCCATACTCCGCTTCATTTTACGACGAGAATGGGGCGGCGCGACAAATCCTAAGCACTAACATCGGTGGTCTCGAAAGAAAAAGCATGAAAGAGAGTGTCAGAAAAGCGAAGAAAGAAAGCAGACGACGGGCTAGGCGCGTTTGCTTTGACGCTCTGGAGCTGTGGATTTGCCTGTCAAATTTAGTGTTTCTTTTTTTACACTAGCTTTTCTATTTGCGAAGTTAAAAAAAAAAATATTGGGTACCAATCACGCAAATGATATTTTGCTGTTTTTTTTTTAAATTATTCTTAAAGTATTATTACCAATCTGGGCCTCTCAGAACAGCCGACGCCCCGACAGGCCCAGATTACCGCCATATGCCCCATGGGCCATGGTATCGATGCGTCTAGAACAAATGGGAATATGGCAGGCTTTTCAAAATTCGAATTCAAATAATTTATTTTGTTTTCTCGGAGAGAGGAGGCAGAATAAAAAACAAACCCGGGTGTTGCTTGACAAGCCTTTGCCTGCACCACAGCAGCAGGGAAGCAGCATAAACGTACAAATGCCCACAAAAATATAAAGTAAGATATATGTGTTAAGGAAGAAAAAAACAATAAATCCAGGTGTTCGTTATTCACAACAGCAACAGCATGGTAACAAATAATGAACGCACAGTTTTATTAGTCTCGCGCAGTATTTCTGTATTCAGTTTGGTAAAACTATTTGAAAAAGAAGGAGGTACTGCAGATCTCAGCATCTGTCTACCATAGTTCGTTCTAATGAGCGGCACTAACCGCGTGTCTACGCAGCAAGTTCAATAAACTGGGTCTCTTATATTCGGGTTAGATATAGATCTAAATAAATTTTCTGTTCATACACGTTTATCACCTGTACGAGGCCTCTAATGGCTAGCAAAGCCCCGGTGGCGGTCTCACCTCGGTGGAGTCCTCCTGGTGGTTGACGGCGGCAAGGGCCTCCTCGGCGGCCTGCCTCCGAGCCTCGCCGATGAGCCTCTCCATCTTTGTCCGCTCGGCGGCCACCAGCTCGCTGGCCTTGGACTCGGCCGCGGACACGGCCTTCTGCAGCTCGGCCACGGCCTGGCGCTTCACCTCGTGAACCGCTTCCTCTAAAAGGACCGAAAAAACAAACAAAAAAACTTTCAGCCTTTCCACTCTGGTGAAGAAGGAAGACCAGCTGAGCTGTACAATGGAAAGTAATGGAGGGCCGCAAGTCGGGAAGCCAGACTGGAAAGGCTGCCGCCATCTATGAGCGACGGCGGCAACCAGGTACCTGGCTTGCCGCCGTCGCTCATAGATGGCGGTAGATGTCCCGAGTTCGGTGTCTTCATTTCCTTGCGGAGGACACGATCCTGGGAAAGCTAAAAAAGGAACGCGATCAGGTGTTTGATTCTGGTTCCCGCTCCGCTTCGTTCCGTTCCGTTCCGCTTCGCTCCGCTCTGCTCCGCTCCGCTCCGTTTCGTTCCGTTCCCTTCCTTTCCGTTCCGTTCCGCACCGCTCCACTCCGCAACACCGTCATACAGGGAGTGCCCCAGACAGTGTTCGCAGGCACTGTCTGAGGCAGTCCCTGTATGACGGCCATGTAGGGCATACAAAGACTGTCTTATTTTAGATTCTTAACCCGTCACCGACTACGGTGTGGAGGAGGAAACGCAATTGGCGACAGTTACGATTCGAAAATGCGGCTTCCCGAGCCTCAAGTGCGGCGTCCGAACGCTCAAACGATGTCGTACTTGTCTGTCGCGAACCGTTGTAACGTTTCTAGAGAGCGGAAAAGCGTTTCTCGCAAATGCAGAATAAGCGTCGGGTAACCGACGATGCTTTTAAGGCTTTTTGGCGCGACCCAGCGCGCGTTATAACGGGTACAGCCGTTAGCGTCCATTCATCCATCGATGTCGTCATTATCGTTACCCTCATACCGTGGTTACGCGGCACACTTTACTCGAAGTAAAAAAAAAAATCATTGTTTTTAATTAAAGAAATAAAATAAAATTGATTTAAATTATTGTAACTAGAAAATAGTGATTTTTTATCACTAGGGGAGAGTGGGGAGGAATGGAACAATTAGCACGCAATAATTTGTTGTGCAGTTTATTGGGCACATAAAACGCGCGCGGTCGTTTTTAAAAAAAAACGGCGATCGCAGACGACGAATGTAGCGCCGTCTGGGGCTTCTCGAACCATTAAACACAATTGCCCTTCGCATTTTGTTTTTCGCAAAAAAAAAAAAAAAAAAAAAAAAAATGAAAGCAAGCGAGACCGACGCAGATTGTTATTTGAGGTGACATCTTGATTTCCATGTAGTCAGTATTAATGAAGAAGTCTTAGAAAACTATGCCTTTGAATGTGCGCATCTGGTCGATTGCAATTTTATAAGCGGTGCGCGACGCGCCTACCTGACCAGCGAGACTGGATTCGGCAGCACTACTACGCACAGCTGCGGAAGGTGAAGCACCACGACAGGGCGAACAGCCTCCATGGTTCACGTATGGCCGTTAGAGTCATTTCACGCGGCGAGATATTTCGCAAAGACGCAAGTGCGAATTCATACAGAAATTATGTTAAGCATCATCATGATCACCCCATCTGTTAAGAATGATGATGATGATGATGACTGTCCGTTATCGCTCCTGAAACACTTTAAAGCGGTTCTTACAAGCGGGCTTGCAGACATGTAAAAATGGTAATTCGGCAGTTCGCGCGTCCACATGAAACCTCCCAAAGCAGCTGTACCAAAATAAACCGTGGATTAGTTGGGTTAATTATAGTGAAACGCTAATAGCGCAACAGACAAGGACGAGTAGACGAAGCGAGCCGAACAAGAGCTGCTTGTCTGGACAGGACAGGAGCTTGCCTGGACAAGACAAGAGCTTACCTGGACAGGGCAAGTGCTTGTCTGAGTAGAAAAAGAGCTTGCCCACTTCTGGACAAAGCAAGTCCTCGTCTGTGAACAGAACCACTTCTGCTCAGGACAAGAGCTGATTCTTTTCCTTTTTTTTTTTTTGGCAGGACAAGACCTTCTTTAGACAGGACAAGAGTTTGTCTTGTCCACTCCTGCTCGTCTCTGTCCTATTTTAGCTTAGCCCTTTCAAAGTGAAGCACACGACGGCAGGGCCGCGTATGCTCCGATTGCTCAACGAAGGAGTCGCACCTGCCCTGCGGCGCACTTCGGAGACCCTGTCCATCTCGGCGGAGGCGGTCTTGTAGTGGTGGTGCGACGTCATCAGGTCTCTCTTCTTGAGGTCCAGGTCGTCCATGTGCCGGCGCCCGCTGCCGGGCCACACGGGGGACGGGAACTCGTGCCTCTCGGCCTGGCTGCGGTGCTGCAGGATGGCTAGGGCGCGTTTGGTCTTCTCCACCATGCCCAGGATACAGTTGAGCATCTGCGCAACAGGGAAGAGGCTCAAGTGGAGCTCCAGAAGCGAACCAAATCACACAGACACATCTGTCTGCTATTCTGGTGTATGCATCCAGAAGCGAGCCAAGCCACACAAGCATGTCTTACTGCCATTCTGGAGTATGCCTCCAGAAGCCAACCAAGCCACAAAAGCACGTCTTACTGCCATTCTGGAGTATGCATACAGAAGCGAGCAGAGCCACACAAACACATCTTCGAGCCGTTCTTAAAAAAACGGCTCTTGCTTCTATTTTATGTGACATAAAAATTGCAAGACCCCAATTTGCTGACATCAAACAATGGGTTAGGGCTTCTTGTTTGACGTAAACCTTCTGACTTCTCATTTCGCACGATGTAACTCGCGCTATCGGCAGCAAGAACAAGAAAAGATCTTCGCACACTCACTGTGTTTATGTTCTTCCACTCGTCCTCCATGTCCCTGTCCTCCGGGTAGTCTCTGTGGAGCATCCCTGCACATGAAAGGCGGGAGTAAGGCTGTTGGGTTGCCTTCGATGCCTTTGAAACGGCGCTCGCATCAGTTCTATTTGGAACGGTCAGCCTAAAAAAGAAAACTGGGCCCTGCCAAAAGTTTATTTGGGCAGCGCACCGTCCAAGGCCATATATTCCGAGAGGGTATTTATGTTCGTCCACTGTCATTTTCTGCGTATTTCGTAACTTAGACTTGCAACTTGGGCTTCTTTTAAACTTAGCATAAGGACGTTTCCGAGTTCTTTCTATAGAACAAGACATAATTTAAGAAAGATGACCTCCTTCCTTTTTACTGTTCCACGAGATTCGATGAACCTTTTACTTTTAAGCCAGTCTACCGTCCTGCCCAGGGCTAAACCCACTGAATGTCAGCATGGAAAGGACTAAACAAAAAATGTATTTGTAAAAAAAAAACAAAAAAAAAAACACGATTGCCAGTTTAAATTTAAAGGTCGAGTGTGAAGCATCCCTTAGAATCGCGGTGCTTCCATTTCCATCATTTTTAACACCGAAGTAGGGCATCTCGGAAGTCATATTGGAAGCGTGTAGGAATTTTCGTGACTGCGCCTTGCGAGAAATTGGCAGCCCTCAGTTTTCCAAAGGGTAAATCCACGGTCACACTGTAATACGTGATGCAAGCGACAGTCTGTCTGAGGCGTGCTTCTTCCTTGTGTGATTAGCCCTGTCACAGTTGTCACACAAAAACTGTCTTCAGACATGTTCGAAGCAAGCAAGTTTCGAACATGCTTGACGACTGCCCGCAGGTACTTGTCATTCATCGTGTCGTCCGCTAACACACTAGCTGCGTTCGAATTACCTGCACTCCCTGCACCGGTGCAGAAAAGTGTAGGGCAGTGAACTTCCGTTAGCATCTGAATACGCATACCGGAAGTAGACTGCCCTAAACTTTTTTGCACCGGTTTCGGTAAATCGAACGCAGCAAATGTCTTTTGTATGAGGAACGAGCAGTGTGACACCGGCTTTACGGACTATCAGTGTCCGTCCGTCCGAGGGTAGAGACATCCCTCGTTGCAACCAACGACTGCCACCAATGCGCCCCGAAGCACACATATAAATAAAAGTTTTGGGATTGCCTCACTAGCCGGAGCTACAAACTCGGAGTTTGTGCGCTTTAAAAACACATATATGAAAACAAAAATTGCGGTGGCTTAGCTCGGCTATGCGAGGATATACGTAGCATGAGCTTATGCGCACAAAATGAGAGGCGCTATCAAGCGGCTCCGGTGCAGCGTCAGACTTGGCTACTGCGCAACGGAGGCGCACAGCTGGGCACGCGGCGGCGCCAGTGCGCCTGCCGCGGCTATGACGTCACTCCTCTGAAACGCGCAAACCGGCGAGGCGCGCGCGGCGGCGGCGGAGTGCCCGGCGGCTCCGGCGCGCCAGCTGTGGGCCTTGTGACGTCACTGCTCCTGGCACATGCGCAGCACGGAGCACGGCTCGTTATGTGAGCCATGCGAAACTGCTCAACCTCGGCCCAGTGTAGCTCACGCTACAAAAACGCTATCGGGCGGTAAAATGGACATGATGTTTGTATACGAAGGCACCCTCGAAAGGGTCAACTGGAAGTCAGCTTTCGCGGTCTATACTAACCGTAGCACGAGGGCCTGTAGAACCGGTCCGACGAATCCCTGTCGAAGCGGTCGAACCGGTCGAACCGGTCTCGAAACAACGGGACCGCGGGAACGTCGTCGAACCGGAAGGTGTGGGCCGCTGTGGCCGCCGGACTCAGCCTGGTGGTGGGACTGGACAGTCCTGGACGCTTGGCCGACGGAGGCGCGATATCCGTGTCGGCAAGGACGCCGGTCGACGACGAGCCGCTGCTGCAGTGGCCATTCTCCTTGGGCCGCCTGCGCAGCATTGAAATACCACATTGAAGGCAGTGAAGCTACAGTCGCCCTGATCGTGTATTACACAAAATATGGGGTGTTGGCTGCAGGCAGGAACGCAGAGTTATATGCGGACACACCTCAAGCATTCTCAATGCATGTTCGCTTCACACATCTGTATGCATCGAACATGACCGCGGACAATTTTTGTATCAGCAATACGGGAGGACTGTCGTACAAGGAGGAAACATGCCTCACATACTATCTGCACGCTGTCTTTCGTATGACGTATCAGCGGCGTAACCGCGGCTTTAGTGTTCTTCGCGTAAACAAAACTCTGCAAGGATCGTCAGAAACACGTCCCGGTCAACGACGAGGCGCATTCACCTGTCCAGATTGGCGCTGCTGGTCCTCCTCTTGAGGTCCCTGTGCGCAGCTTCCGGCTGGAAGAAGATGTCCCCGAAAGGCGGCGGCTCCGATGCCCCGGGCACCGGGTCGAGTAGCAGGAGGAGTTGCTGCTCGTGCTGACGCAGGTACTGCGAGGGCGTCTGCTTGGCCGCCCGGGCGTAGTGCAGCACTTCCGTCTGGAGCAGGGGCAAATGCGACTGCGAAGAAACACCGAAGCACTATGGTTCCAATCCGTTCTTCAAAATCAGTCAAATTGGACGTTTTAGTGTTTTATACAGCGTAAGGTCGGTGTGCCAGGATGGGGCGACGCAGGGTTACACTGTAGATGAGCAATTTGGCCAGTACAGTACGACTGCTAACCTGGGGTCTTTAACGTGTTCACGCAGTAGTGATACACAACCGCACGCGGGTACGATGCTCATCCAGATCGAAACGGGCAGGGGTGGGGCTCGAAGTTCTTTTTACAAGCACAAGTAAAAACGTAATTTTTACAGCGAAGCTGCTATACGCTAGGGTCTGGGGAAAAAAAGGCGTCCTCACTTGTCGAAAGGAAACTCCCGGCAAGTATGAAATAATAAAAACAAAAAGAGGGGTCAAGTATGAATACATAAGAACAAAAAGAGGGGGCAACCAGCATGAGTCAGCTTTCCTTGGCGTTATTAGATAGTGAGTTCCTGATCCCTTGTTATCATCTCTAGGTATCGTCCTCGAGGTCCTCCTCGAGGTCGTCCGAGAGGTTGTCTTCGAGGTCGCCCTAGACGTCCTCGAGGTCGTCTTAGACGTCGTTCTCGAGGTCGTCCTAGAAGTTGTCCTTAAGGTCGCCCTAGAAGTCGTCCTAGCCATCGTCCTCGAGGTCGTCCTTGAGGTCGTCCTAGACGTCGTCTTTGAGGTCATCCTGGAAGTCATCCTTGAGGTCGTCCTAGATGTCGTCCTCTAGGCATCGTCCTAGACGACGTAAAGATAACAGCCTCGCTGGTCCTCCATCTTCACGTGAAGTGGAAGGGCTCTATTTTTTAATGTGGATTTGAAGAGACGTATCGTCATGGACGCAGCACAGACCACGGGACCACAAGTCCCTCCAAGCTGAGCGGGACGTTGAGCGTCCGATGTCAGGTTAATGACCGCTAAATTTAACGGCTTATATGACGTCGCGAGCGACTAGGCGACTGGCGTCACGTGAATTGACGTCAGGTCACATGGTACGCAACAAGTGTTCGCTATACCCCACTCCGACTGCAAGTCCGACTGTAGCTACGGTCCGATGGAGACAACAAAACAGCGCCAAAAGTGCACCGTCACGGCGCTCGTTTTCCTCGTGACTTCGTTCTCACCGGCCCAAGCAGTCACGCGCAGACAAAGGCGCATTCACTGTGCGTGATTGGTTTAGTCAATCACGTATGATTGGTTTAGCCCAGGGGTGGCCAAACCGCGGCTCGCGAGCCGCATGCGGCTCTTTGGTGGTTCAAGTGCGGCTCGCGGGTCCCTCGTAAGGGGACACCCCCCCCCCCCCCTCCCTTTCGCCCCTTTCCCCGTTTCCCCAGGAAAAAAAAAAAGAAAGGATTTCAGAATAAAGCACACTGCAGCTTGCACTTTGGCAGCCTTGTACTCCCATACGTACAGTCGTACAGTCTTGTGCCCCCATACGTACAGTCAGACTCTGAACAAAAGCTACGTTTCCCCCCCCCCCTCCCCCCCCCCCCCCCCCCCGCGGCTCTTAGAAGTTCCGTGGTTTTGTGTGCGGCTCTTAGGCCAGGCCAGCCTGGCCACCCCTGGTTTAGCCTATCATTGGTTTAGTCAATCATGCGCAGGGAGGATTGACGCTGCGACGATGCATCTCTGGTGCTGCTTGATTGGCTCCATCGGATCGGATCGTCGGCTACGGTCAGACATTAGTTTTAGTGAACCGTTTTAGAGCGCAGCTCTTAGGCGCCCGTTATCGGCTTTAGCAGCGTCGCCGTCAGCGTCACCGTGAGGTCACGTGACCCCGGTGACGTCACGTGACCCGTGAGGTCTCTCACCCCGGTGAGTGACCTCACGGGGTGAATCACGTGACCCCCGTGACGTCACGCGACCCCCGTGAGGCCACGTGACCTCACGGTTACGCCGACGCCACTCGGAGGGAGGAGTAGCAGGCAGGATAAGGAGGTGAGGAGGAGGGAAAAGGGGTATACCCTCCCCTCGGTACCCTTCCCCTTCTCCTCCTCAAGAGCTGCGCTCTAATTCGGTGTTACATGGAGTTGTAAAGGGCTTTCACCTTTGAACATCCGATATATGGCACGATGGGCCCTCCGGCTCGCACTGCGCATGCGCTGCCACAGAATACTCGCACATGCGCAGTTTGTACCGGAGAGGCCCATCGTACCGTATTGAATGTGCGGTTCTCTAAAACTCCCTATTAAGTGAAATTAAGTTTAGACGAATTCTCCGTTCACGGGAGTTTCCCTCCAAAGCACTTTTAATGCGATTGCATACTTTAGCTAGCCCCCACCCCGATTTCGTGGACCTTTCTGGTCAGCAAAATCCTCGTCCTCTAGGACGTCATCCTAGACGTCGTTCTTAACGTCGTTTATGTAAAGTCCCTCTACAAGTAACAACAGCCGATACAAATAACAAGGCGCATCCCGCTGGAACAAAATGGCGTCATCCAGCTCAGTCCTCTGCTGTGCGCCGCCATTCGCTTCCTAAAGCCTGCACCAACACGTAATCGGCGCTTCAAAGATGTCGCTCCTTGTAAAAAGCTCTTACCTAGGAACTTCATGGTCATGGCGTCGTAATAAAAGGAGGAGGTAAACATGACGAATGCTATCGCAATTCATTGACAACCAACAATAGTCGTTTCTACAGCTATTTCTTTCTCCTTAACCGCGACAGCTTCAACTCTCGAAGTACAAATCATGGCACTTATTTTGATACTCAGCAAATAAGAACGAATGAATTGCGCCCGAATGGCGATACTGTATCCGTGGTAAAGATAAAGGCCTCTTGACCCTTTTGCCACCGATACTATTTGGACGCTGGAGCATAATTCGGATTGGTTCAGCTTCTCGAAGGCAGGTCAATGACTGGTGTTCCCTGTGCGCCGCGTGCGCCACATATTCCCAGGGACATCTGACAATGTATACCTCAGGACACGAAGTGTTTTGGGATCTACGGACTCAAGTATGTGCCTGGTACAAATCAAGCATCCGCGAACTGCAGTCGATTTCGTACCCTTGCCACCAGCTCTACCTTTTTTTGTGTGTGTGTTTCTTAAATGCCGGGTACATACGCACCTTGAGGAAAGGCACGACGAAGGGCCTCAGTGGGTAATTGGTGATCTCTTGGATGCTCTGGTGGAAGTCTTCGATGGTGATGGTGGAACTCTGCTCCAACCCGAGAAACGGACGAGAAAAGAAAGCTTCGTTTAATGCAGTGGCAAAATACGCCAACTTATAGTTGGCATATTTTACCACGCTTTACACGCAACTTACCATACTCCAACTTACTGTTCCATAAACAAAGAGGTGTCCGTGCGTATTAGGGGCATTACTGAAACTGCAAAATCTTTGCGCCTGCGCTATTCCAAGCCAGAGTTTCAGCCTTGGGTTTTTTAAGCTCAAAGCCGCAATTGTTCCTATACGTCTTTTTCTTCTTGTTTTTTTACATGTACACAGTTGCTTTTGGTAAGTTGCGTAGTCGGGCAATTTACTTTCGAATTACAACTGCAATTACAAAGCTTCAGGAGTAGGTATAATTACAATGTTCTGCATGAAACGTAATGCATTACAATCATTCATCACACGTAGAAAGTAACGCAACTAAGAACTACTTCCAGTTTGAGTGACAATATTTCCCAGCATTGCTTCTGACAATCTGTTTCTTTATCGCCTTATAGTCTGATGATTCACTATCTGGTGTATTTCATTTGTCGCGTATTGTGCCCTCGTTTCTTCAAATTGATTACTCAAACTACTACTTCGTATCATGTGATACGAAGTGGTGTGGAGCCGAGCCCTGAGTACCATAGAGATTTCTGATATCGCCGTATCGCAAAGACAGTTATTGTCCTTGTATAGAATTTCAAGGTCAAAAGCGCTATAATAAATAGTCAGGCCTTCATGCGTGCGCAGAGAACCGAAACGCGCAGATGCCTCGCAGCTGCGCCTCCTTTCCTTTCGGTGACGCTCAGAAACGCGCTTCAGCATTAAAACGAAACTACGAGGCGAATTTGGTAAGTTTAACGCCAGAACGGATGAAATTACATTTAAATTAATTTGATTAAGAAACTAATGAATTCAGACCACGAATTTACTCTTCCAATAATTACAGTAATCTAATTCAATATCTATAATTGGATTGCTACCCAAGCATGGTCGGACACTGCGCTCGGCCACCGTGCCCCTCGCAACGCCCAAAAACCGAGGGAGATGAGGAGACGAGAGATGACATCAGAATGGAGAGCTCTGATTGGCTCTGATTGAAGGATAGTGGGTAGACCTCGAGGCAGCTGGCTTTGAGGTCTATCCACTATCCTGCAATCAGAGCCAATCAGAACTCGGCATTCTGACGTCACCACAACCCCTGCAGAAGAAGCAGACGAACTTGCGCTCCGAGTAGCTTTAGGTCTACCCGGGCCACTAATCATTCAATTCAATTCAATTCAACTTCATTGACTCCAGTTCGGAGAAGGAGACAGGGAAAAAAGCTACATTGCGTAGCTTGACAAGTCCCTGCCTCCCATACAGACTTCGGCAAATTAGTCGGCACTTGGAAAAAAAAAAAAGAAATACATGCAGAACATTATACAGCTTTTGATATGCTGAACAGCACAGAACTTTTAAATTATTATTTGTTATTAAAATACAATTGTCTAATTTGGTTATTTGACATATTTTCTATGTGAATATTGTTTTTTATGAGTTCATTAATGGTAGACGATACAGTATACTGGAGCATTTGAAATCCGTAATTGGTTCTGGGATGCGGCACTCTCCAGTGCTCTGGACTACGCGTATGATAAAACGAAGAGTTTTCTTCCAGCGAAGCTAAGGAAAGGAATGATTTGTTATTATAATAAATACTATCTTTATATTTCTTTATTAATGTCTGTGTATATAAGTCAAAAATACTTGTTACCTTAAATTTTGAGAATAAAATATCGGCATGACTACCATATGGTACCAGGGCTTGGCGTTCTGACGCCCCCTATGGTCTCCTCATCTCCCTCGGCTTCTCGGCGCATACCATCTAGAAGACAAGGCCTGCGCATGGCGTCAGTGCTAACGCAAGCTATAGACGGCTCTACATCGATCCACTAGTGATGAGACGTGGGGGAGGGAGAGGGCACGCTCACCACGAGTCCCAGGATGAGGGCGTGCACCCTCTCCCCGACGTCGGGAGCAACGTCGCTGCCGAACTGCTGCAGCGTCGTCAGGAACCTCTTGACCTTGTTCAGCTGCCGGGCGCCCAGCAGGAGGCTCCCGGCCGTCGGCGCGCCGTCCGCGGAAGACGTCAGCGGGGACGTGCCGGCCGGAGACGCCACGGCGGCGGCCAGCACGGGTCCGTTGGCCGTGGTCCCGTTGTTGGCGGTGCTGGACGAGACCCCCGTGCACGACGAGCCAGGGTTAGAGTCCGACGGCGGCGACAGGGACCGCGCCACGGCGAGTCCCGGTGGGTTGCTGGGACAGCCGCCCGGAGCCAAGGGCACCGTGGTCGCGTTCACGACGGCGCCCAAGGGAGGCGTGGTCCTGTTCATGCTTCCCCCTGCGGAATGGAAAGGAACAGAAGTTGAGGAGTCACCGTAAGCTGCTGTCGCAGTTATGACGGTCCTCTTACAAAGGGCAATACAAAGACTGTCTGCAGCAATGCTCGAAGCAGGGTAAACATAGTTCGGAGATGCCTGACGCGTGCGTCCGCAGGCTGTTATGATGATGTCTCTAACGAAATCAATCTCTTATGTAAGATGTATGAGCAGTGTTGTGCGACTGAGGCCGAACTGAGGCTTAAGATGACAGCGCGACGGACTTACTACGTCCTCGTTGGACCAATCACAGGTTCATTTTTGGCCACGTGATCGCGCTCCCGTCGATGTCCACGCGCAGAGAGCGGCGTCAGGCGACGAGATGAAGGCGAGTCCGTACTTAATAAATTCAAAACTTCGTATCTGTGGCATGTTGGCTAGGAGGGGCCAAGTCACAGCTGTATGCTCTGAGAGGAACAGAAGTGGATCCTGCATCGCAATGTACCCATCTAAGGAGCATCAATCAAAGGCCTTCCTCGAGTCAGTTTAGCTTATGTGAAGAGCGCGTGCGGTGTACCTAAATCAAGCTGCAATGGCTGAAAGTATCGGAAGAAAGTTATGAGGTGGATATCTTTCTGCCAATATCTGGTATTCACTGGCGGCCATATCTCGAGTACGCTGTTGCAGAGCGCCAGCTCACAATGAGCCTCCACAAAGCTTCTTCAACGTGCAATGGGCACCGTTGCACGTTGCTCACCGTGAGCTCGCGCTCTGCTATGGCTGCCAGGGGATACTAGCTATTGACAGAACGTGGGCAGAACGATATTCACCTGAAACTTGATAACTTTCTTCCGAGACCTGCAGCACCAGCAAGATTGTAAGTCTTCTTGGAAGATAAATAGGGTATCATTTTGAGTATGCGCTGTGAACGCTGCAGTCAACTATGGCGCCCGGTGAATATCACCTAGCAAGTCGTCTCCTTCTTGCGCAGGAGTCGCAGTAACGTCAGAACGACGCGGAGCTCTGATTGTTTTTGATCGGAAGGATTGTGGGTAAACCTCAATGATAGATGCCTTAAAGTCTACCCACTTTTTTGTTTTCAATCAGCCAATAAGAGCTCGCCGGTCTAACATCATCGCAACCCCTATGCAAGAAACAGACCAACTTGCGTTCCACATAAGACTGGATGAGGTGAGAAGCCGACGCTTTTAGTCGTTCTGAGTGGAGGGAGACGCTGGGTAGAAAGAGAAAGGCAGCTAGGGTTTGGGTCTACCCACTATCCCTTTCAATTAGAGCTCGCTACTCTGACGTCACCGCCACGCTCTCATCTCCTCCTCTCCCTCAATTTCCTTCCGTATAGCCACCTGGTGCCGTTCTGATCCTAGGTCAGCTTCCGTTTCGCGCTCTCCAGTTTAACCATGAGGGACGTGTAGGCTAACACTCTGTTAACGGACAAGCCCGCGTTTTCCCGCATTAGGTTCGGGCACTGCGCATGCGCAGGAACAAGATCCGCCCATCCGCCGCTCCGACAACTGCGCCACCACAACGGTGCGACGCCAGGGTCGCGTGTGGGTGTACAGGATGCATCTCCACGGAAGCGTCCTGTTCCCGACGGAGCCCGCGTGCATCGCGCGGGACGGCGGCGTACACACCTTGCATGGACGAGACCTTCTGCAGCTGCGTCGGGCTGCCGGGCTTGATGTCCGCCAGCGGGGAGTCCGCCATCTCAGCACCCTGGAGCGCTCGGCAAGATGGCGGCGGCGCCGCCCTGTTTCCTCCGGAACCGCTGCCAGGAGTCGCTGATTTCGCCGTCGTCGTTTCGCAGTCCAGGTCTGAATGGGGGGAAGAGGCAAAGGGGCAAGAGCACGTCAGTCACACCGTCCGGCCGCAGAAAAAAAGCAATACCACGATGATCGCCTTTACTGCACACGGCGACATACACTGCTGGAAATGTACAAGTGTATATATGCTGAAATCACGGCGTACTGGAACAACAACAGCCGCACTGCTACGTCATACAAAAAACACGGTGTTGGTTGCAGACACATGAAGATAAAATCATCTTCGGACAAGCCTCGAACATGGTCTAAGCGTGTTTCCTTCACACACGCTTCAAGCATCTCTGCGGACAGTTTTTGCATGACAAATGTCATACAGGAAGGCCTCAGACACTGTCTGCAGACCGTCTTTTGAATGACCATAGTCTTTTATATACTGATAAAGCCTGGCAGATCGCCACGAGAAGAGGCCGCCGAAATGGAAAAGGTGGAGCGGCAGACAACGGATGAGAGGAGAGCTACGTGACTGGCGCCCCGCTGCGGCGAGTCGCCGAAACACACTTACAAGTTTGTTTCGGGTCCTCTTCGCTGCGAAAGCTGCGCGCTGACATCCAGGTTCCCCGAGAAATGGCTTTTTAATGCTCTGTGCTACCAGATCCTCGCGCTCCAAATCTGCGACGGGCACTCTATGGCTTCGTCGTCGAACCGCCAGGCTTTGTGAGTATAGAGGAGGCTATGGTATGACGTACAATCAGTGTGAACGTGGCTTGAATGTACTCATCCAACGAGAAGGCCTATGACGCTCCAGTTTCTACAAATCATGACGCTCTAATTTCTACAATCTCAATAAAAAAAAAAGAAAAAAAAAAAGCTGAATTTATTTTTGCCACGTGGACCATGTAGGGTCTCGACAAATATCGCCCTTTTCTGGTTGACTCAACTCATTCAAGCTAGGCAAGTAATTGGTGGTCCGATGTTCCATGTTTTGCGGAATAGCAAGAACTATGTAAGAACTTCTGATTACATACATACCGCGTGGGTCAAAGGGATCGATGGCGGTTTGGAGGGATCGCATGCGCTGGGATTTACTAAAAAAGTGCTCGAGGCGGGTGTATTCAATAATTGACGGAATGAATACATAAAACCACCGGAGTCAATAAAATAAAAAATAAAAGCTTTTCTTTTTTTTCTTTTTTTTTACGGGAAAATTATTTTTAAGCCTTTTATCTCGAAATCATCAGAAAATCGTTATGGGCTATTTGGCGTTTACTACGATTGGACAATTTGTGAAATGGAAAAGAAAAATAGAATTGGCTTCCCTATTCTTCACTTCATTTGGCCCAAATAAGCGTCACACTAACACGTAATATATTTTTAGTGTGCATGCAAAGTATAGAGAAAACATAGTTCTTGATTTTTATTTTTTATTTACTCGGGTGATCGAGCCAATGTTTCCACGATTTTAGCGAAAGCTTCCAACAACTTCAGGCATCTCTGCATACGTAAATCCTAGAGCGATACGCCAAGGCGCCGTTCCTTCTAGTGGAAGTAATGTAAGTACTGCGTACACTGAATATCAAATCATATCAAATCAAATCAAATCTTTATTTTCCAGAAAACTGGAAGGATCGCCAGACAAAAAGCTGTTAAAAACAGCTTGACTGGGTCTGGGATCCCTTTACATTGGCAGCAGCTTTGACACTGAAAAACATATGTTATATATATATATATATATATATATATATATATATATATATATATATATATATATATATATATATATATATATATATATATATATATATATATATATATATATATATATATATGTATATATATAAGAATAAAAACATTAAAAAAAGTCACAGCAAAAACATGCATTCAAAATCCCATTAAGCGAAGCTACACACACAGTACAAGCGGAGGTCTTTTTTGTTTAACGTGTATATGTTTATGGGCGTTTCCGGAGCTCTGGTGATCAGTACAGTTTCGTGCTGCAAAGGTCAGCTTTATGTGCTGATTTAGGTATTCCGAAGTCGTCTCGCTGTTTCTTAAGTTGGCGACGACTTGAAAAGAAAACGCAGGGCGTGGTTTATGATGTTCACGCTCACGCGTCTTGCTTTGTGATTACATTCCCCGGCATTCTTAGTGGCTAATGTCGCAATCCCCGCAGTTCTTAAACTGTCAGCAACCGTCTAGCCTCGAAGAATAAGGTTTTGAGTCCCTCAATCCACCAAGAGCTTTAAAGAGAGCGAAAACAAAAAAAATGGAAACGGAGTCGTGTGGCGAGGCTGCAGCGATTCCCACAGCTGCAAAAAACACCTGAGCAACAACAACAGAAACATTACAATAACGCAATTGAAAAAGAATCGAAGGAAGCCCGAGAGAGACAGCTGCGCTTAGTTCTGTGCGAGTCAGCTAAAGTTGTCGTTTAGTATGGGAAACGCCGGCTGCAGCATTGAGGCTTTCTTTTCAAGAAAAAACAACCACAATACAGCATGTTTTTGAACAAGCACGTACATTTTTCCCTGGTCTCAAGAAAAGAAAAAAAAAACCAAAAGAGGGCGTTATATTTTTAGAGCTACAGGGTGAGGTCGGTCTTCCGCAGTATGGCGGAATGGGTTCCCACTGCAAATTACAAATTTAGCTGGTGCAGTACGACTGCCTGTTCTCCGCTTCACTCCAAGTCCGATCGCAGTCGGTGTTACGGTCCGATTAGCTATGGAATCAAGCAGCACCGAAAAGGACGTTTGCAAGTACGGCCTCTGGGCACCGCCATCTTTCTGATGGCATTGGCAGATCTCCCTATGGTTGAGCATTGCTGAGGCGTACCCACGGCCTCAATGCTTGAACTATCAGACGGTCTACCCATACCAGCGGCAAGATGGCGGCCCCCAGTAGCCGTGCTTGCAGACGTCTATACCGACTAGACCAATCACATAGTACCGAATGCGCCACGACCCTGCGTTTTTTTTTTTTTTTTCTGTGTGATTGGTTTAGAAGGTGACGATGCACTTTTTTCGCTAAATGATTGGTTTCATCGGGTTGTATAGTCGGCTATATGTTCGGGCGTAAAGTAAAATTAAGTATAGTGGGGTCAGGTTCCTACTTGGAGGATCCTAGAAGACAGAAAGTTCGTAGTTCGTAGTGCCGTATTTTACGTCACAACTATAGGCGGTGGTGGCGCCCAGAGCTGCGCATGCGTAAAGGTTTAGCGCTTAAAAAGGCAGTAACAATACAAAAGCGTTTTTTTTATCTTAAACGATTGAAAACGATGTCTGGACATTATCCTCAAAATTCGAAACTTGGGAACTCAGCATTTGTGAATAAAAAAAAAAAAAAATTTTTTTTAAAGCCGAGTTTGAAGTTCCCGCGCGATCCGCGCCAGTGAGTGACGTCAAAGATTGAGTCGTCCTGCAACTCGGGTTTCTCTCACGCCTGCGTGTCTTTGTTCGCTCGCGTCCCGCGATCAAGCGCTCCGTGCGTGCTGCGCCTGTCGCTGTGAGCAGACGACGCTCACTCGCTTTCGTGTTTGAAGTTCTTTTAGGGCTCTTTCAGCGATCTCAAATTCTTTGAAACGGTATGAGGTTGAAGAGAACGCGCAGTTGACTTTTTTGAGCGGCGTGAGGGACCACGTCGCGTCGGTTCTGCGTGAAAGGCTGCCCAGGCGGAGTCACAACCGAAACTATACGGTACACAGACACCAGAACCAATCGTTTCGACTGTTCGACGATTTCCCTTTTCGAAGTCTGAGAGGTCGTCGGGCAGCTGAAAAAGAGAACTTGGTCCGATACCCCACTCACCGATCATCCTCAGTGCTACATGCATCAAGCGCCGCCGTGTTTTCCGAGGGAAGACAAAAAGGCCAGGAGGCGACATCACCCCGGACTCCGATTTTCGGCATTTCATAAAGAAGGGCCGTAGTGCGTTCGCAACTGCGTTAAAAAAAACTTTTTTTTTCTTTTTTTACAAACGCCGTAATAAATATTGTATAAAGAGCGCTTAGAAAGTATTAAAACTTTATAATCGATTACGTCACAAATAAAATGAAGCGAGGAGGTAAGGAGTGGGAGAGAAAAACGCCAAAAAGAAAAAAGGCGCGCGCGCGCGTGGGAAAAGTTTTTTTTTCGCGTTATGGTTTTTTTTTTTTTTTTTGTCTATGACTACAACTTGCATCTTTTTGAGGACAAAACAAAATACGACCTTTGGAGTGTCAGTGCCCCTTTAAATAAAAAATAATAATTTCTGCGCAAGCGTACTTAGTGCATACAGCGAGATACAAAATTTACGGTCGCATTAAACATTAGAGAAAGATGATGCAAACTCTCGAAGGAGATAACTGGATGAAACGGACTATATATGATTTGATTGATCGGGAAATTCGTCGAGGGTTTCGGCGTCCGCGTGGATTTTTCAAAACCCGCGACTCTCTGGGAAAATGCTTTTATATAGTGTGCAGCAGCGCGATGCTTGCAAAATGCGCAACCAACGTTCTCAGAAGCCCCTGTATGCATACCGCCCACAATGCGTTCTGAACGCCAATCGTAGGTATTCCTTCTGCATCAGTTAAATCAGTGAAGAGAGCGAGCGTTTTCACGTTCTAATGGTCACACCGGAGGGAAAGACTGCACGCACTAGCCCTTGAGCGTGGGAACCGATCGGAAGTCTTATTGGTTGACCTCATCGAGGGAACGCCAGTGATTGGTGAAGAAATGGCCCCGTCCAGAAGCACTTTTTTTTTTAAAGATCAATACAAATTACCTTCGTACAAATAGAGCCCCGTGAGGATCAATATTTTTTGCTAAAACTATACACAATAGGAAATATGGATCGTCTGCGCTTTCCCGCAAAGAGCTCGAGAAAGCCAATCGCTGCCATCCGTGGAGGGAGGGAGCTTGGGGAACGACACGGCTAAAATAGTGTTTAGACGAAATATTAGGGACTTTTAGGGAACCGTTACCGTGTTCCGCCGCGCACCGCGCGGAGCCTTTGAAGCATATGCTTTTAAGCGCGCGCACGGGTGATATCGTGACCGCGGGGCACGCGAT